AGAGAATACCAGCTTGAATAGTCGAGTCTGTGGAAGAGATGTTCATTCACTGTTTTGTTTTACTTTTCATTTTGTAGAAAGAAAAATGCCGGTGCATCATGTTCTTACCTGAAATGCACAATCCTCTGCACAGAATTTGAGCCTTGCCGCGCTACACACACATATCGCTCTATCATGGATCGATTAACATTGTGAAGAAGTAATGCGCCGCCGCCCAATATTGAACAGCTAAAAGCCCATAATTACAACAGCCAGTTATTCAAGAAAGGCGAAATAGAATACAGTATAATTCTAGAAATGTGAGAAACTTTATAACCCCTCAGATGAAAATTTGACGCTCACCAGTCATGAGTCGAGTTGATCTGATCAGCTGACCGAGGATCGAATATTCCCAAGAATGTTTTGGGACGATACAACCACCTGAAAGTTTGATACAAATCTCATCCCATGAAGAAAAGTGATATAAAAAAAACTCAAGACACACAAAACTTACCATTCAATACTGGGTTGTGGGGTACCGTAGGCAGTGCATGGGAGAAGTGCTGATTCTCCCATTACAGCTCTCACAATATCTGGATCGTGCTGTGAAATTCCCAAAGTACAATTGGTGAGAGGGGTTCTTAAACGATTTTTGAGACATGCTGAGACCACTGAGGTTGTGGAGATGATAAGAAATTCTTACGCTGGAGGACACTGCGTTTGATTCGTCATTAGGGAAGCAACTGGAAGCGACCACTGCATGACGCATGGGTCACAGTCGAAGTTGGAACCTTTCACGTCCAAAAATTGTAGAGAGGTTCTGAAAGATTAGCAGACGATAAGTGCAAAGCTTCAAAACGATAAAATGGACCAATATGAAGGAGAACGTGGACAACAATTGAGTGTTTAGACTAGAATAACATATTAAAGACAGTTCCTGCGATCAAAGGTCATGGATGGTTGCTGTTCAATTATGAAACAGTAGCTGATAAGTAATTCCCCAAAGAAGAAAAAAGCAAGAAGAGTCCTCAAGAACACCATAAACAAAATCGCTCCCTGACAGTCACACCGCCCTGCGGTCTCTGTGCAACCCCTGGCTCACAAATCGCTTTTCGCATCTCCCAGTGGATATCATCCAATGCAAAGAAAAGAATACGAAAAACAACAAAAACACCGACGGAAAACTCTTGACAAAAAGAAACTTTCAAAAACTCGGCGTACGAATTTAGGGTTACGGTAGCGTGCATCTTTAGTGCGTCGAGCTTTTGCACCAAGAAAATTGCATCACTCGTGATTTTTACGCGTTTTACCTTGCGAGATGGGTTGCAGTTGACTGTATGTGCTCCCAATGATAAATGTGATGAAGGAGAGCAGAATTATTCATGGAGCACGAGCGCGGTCAGCAAAAAGGACATGCAATTCCGATTAATGCCCGCCGCCCCAACAAAGAACAACTGAGCGGCCCTCCGTCAGAGGGCATCTAGCAAGTGGGCGGTCCAACTGAGCGGGCGTTAGAACTAGAACTTTCAGCGGCTGTAGCTCGCTCCTCGCTCGCTGTGGAGTCGCGAGAGTGGGACAGTCTCTAGCTTGGGGGCTGGACTACTTGCACAAGGAAGGACGATGATGAATTACTCGAGCGCGAGAGCAATCTTTAATATGTGACAAACGAAGCATTCACAGTGAGGCTTTTCACACGGTTGGAAAAGAAAATTGTTGATACAGAACTAAAATACACGATTTAGGATAGCGGATGAGTGAAAGGGCCATCATGACAATGAAGAAGACACGAAAAGTCGTTTCTAGTTCCGCCCACCCAGAATTTCTGAGCGTAAAATCGGTATACGCAAAATTGACAACAAAACAAAACTAACCCGGTGAAAAAAGACTGAGGAAATGCTACAATTTGAGAGTTGGTCAATGAGAACTCTTCTGTCGTCTCCGGAAGCTGACCACTCACAAACTTCAACTTGTATGAACCGATCATCGATAACCTAAAATGGAATGCTATGGGATGGACAGAACAACCAGGTGCAAGCAAGGCTTGGAAGAGTAAGACATAAGACAACAGGAAGCAGCACTTTATGATGAACGTGATAAAAATTGATGAACGTGATAAAAATTGAAACTGGGAGTGAAGTGCTTGCATCAGAGCATGTATGAGTTATTTTGTTTATAGTATTTACAAGCTATAGCCGCACTGTAAAGCCTAAAAAATTAGCAGAAAATATACAGGAAAAAACAAACTTGGAACAAACCTTAAAAGGGCATTTTCATTCGTTTTTCTTTCTTTATTCTCTCCTTGAACATAAATAGTAGGGACAACAGCTAAGAATATGATGTAATAACATAACAATATTGATATTTTGGCGAATCGCAGGTGGCAAGAGGTGCCATTTACCAGGTGAGCAGTGTGGGGATTAGATCCCGGATCGGTCCCCCCCCCGAGCCGAACTTCCCGTGCTACCGGAGAAAGCCAACTGGTACTAGACCCGCCTGAGAGGATGAAACATGTCTTCTACATCGGCTGCCCCCCCCCCCCCCCCCGGAACTCATTGCTCGGCCATTCACATTCAAAGCCCACTATGGCTTAAATGGAAGTGAATTGAGCGCAGCATTCTGAAAAGTGATAAAAGCTAGACAGTGAAAACTTGATTGTCGCACCGCTCGGCCAACCCTTACAAATCGAAATGTTCTTCGGCGTACGCGACATGGTTATTCATGTTTTTGTCCCGTTTAATTCATCGAAAGGAGGATTAAACCTGTCTGAATATTCACTTCCTCCTTCTCCCACACTTTTTACCACTCTCCAGAGCTCAATATTCTTTTCAGAACTTTAGAAACCTCAAAAATAGATATAATATCAAAGTGGTATTGGCGTGGCTCATTTCAGTATTCTTCGAATTCCTGTTTCGACAACGACTTTAACCAACAAACTTTTGCTTATTGGAAAAGCATTTTTTGGCGTACTTAATTCAAGCAAACAAATTTTTCATGTGCAATTTGAAAGTCGCATAAAAAACGCTAAAAGCTTGACTTGGGCTTGCTCCAAGTTTTTTGTTCCGTTACTGTGGATTAAAGTGGGAAAAAAAAAAAACCGAGGATGGACGGGACATTTAAGACGATCTTAATGTGGCACAGAATGGCGGAACCCACCTGACGAGGTTTGGAAGGATCCATGTTTTGAAATTTATCATTTCCACAATCGATGAGTCCATTGTGAGTTCGGTTAGTACAGGAGCACTCAGTTGAGGAGCGATGGTAAACTTCGTTTCACTCAAATCGAGACGCTTCAGAGAAGCAAACACAGGAAACTCTGCTTCCGCCAAAGGGTTGTGAGATAGATCTGAACATGGAAATATAAACGAGAAATTTTGAGTAAGAAAATCAGTTCGAAACAAGGAAAGAGATGCTGTTTGACAGCCATGATAGACGTGATTTACTCCTAACAGCATAATACTCGAACGCACCCTAAAATAATTGTCAAACCTGGTAATCACACAGTAAGGAACATAATAAATATTTTGTATAACAAGCTCTAAAATGGTGGCTAACAAATCCACAAAAGAACACAATAAAAGAACACTAACAACCAAAAGGAACAAATCTCTGGGTAATGGATTATTTGCAAACCTTTCTTCCCCAACTCACTCTGGAGAGAAAGCCAATCCTTTGCCTTAGTTTAACCTTTTACGCGAGTTCAAAAAAAACACATATAAATTCTCCACACTTTCTGCACTCAGGTTCGCTGCCAATGAAACGGCGTGTCAGGCGTATGAGTGTGGCGCCAAACCCGTTCTCTGACAGTTGCGACAATAATTGGTAGAAAACGAGTGAAACGAACGATATGGTACAGTCCTGCCACTTGCTCGCTTCAACAGCTGGTGGAGAAC